CCCATCTTTTCTATAGCATGTGGCTTTAAAGTGGAAGTTGTTTTTGTGAAGAGCAGATGTGTGCTAGTGCTGTCACCTTTAGGTGGATCAGAGCTTGTCACCTGATTTGAAATCAAGCTTTACACAGATGTGTTTGAACAGCTGGCATTTCCAATTAAGAATGGCAAATTGTGTTTTTAGTAGGTTTACACGCTGTTTTCAAAATCTTTCTCGAGATGAATCATTCAAAGCTATTATAGTGATAAATACAATGGAAAGAGCATAATCGGTCTCCTTTAACATTACATCACCTTAAAAAGGCATTTTATGTTTCATAACTATGATAGTTCTGATTCTGCGCCGCTTGTAGTGAATTCAAGCATCCTTTTCTCAAACTGTGAAGAAAACCAGGGCCCGGATGAATAAAACTCTGCATACAACTGAAACTGTTTACCCACAAAGGCTCAAATGTGCGTGCACCTTCTTGTTGCATTTGCATTTCACACAAACATACACGTGTGCAGGAAAAGGTGTATGAATAGCATTTGTGCATCTGGCTCTTGGTGATTCACGGAGATTTCTTGTACTTTAAGGTTGGCCAATGTTCAAGCCAGGCTAGTCAGCACTACCCGTCTTGTGGCAGAGTGTAACATCTTGTCGTATATTACATTAGCATTCGTCTAAAGTGTTTGTTTGCCTGCTTGTGTTCCTGCATCTGAAGGCAGTGAAGTGACACATGCCTCCTGTATTTGTACAGGTGTCATTTATTGTATGTGGGCTGCTTGATTTCTGAGTCTGCATTTGTTTGTTTGCGTGCACATGCATTCACGTGTCCTCTTTCAATTCAAAGAGCAGAGGCAGAAAAATGAGCAAGAGAACGAAGGAACATTTGGATGAGAAATGAGCTGTCTGCGGAACACTAAGGAGATGTGTGAATGCAAACACATAATGGTGGAAATACACATCCTGTGTGGGCTTGTAGGATCCACTAGGCTCAGACTCAGAATATCTTGAGAGGCAGCTGAAGTGTGAATAACATAAACCAATGAAAAACTCACTTATTAGGAGGAAGAGAATTCCCCTGGAGAAAGGCATTGTTGTTCTGTTTGTGTTTGTGTGTGCGCGTGCGCGTCTGTGCGCGCAAATTTGGAAGGCAAGCTGGGTGTACAATTTTTATATTTCTTAATTGCTGGCAACATGTGGATTGAAAGAAGGGAATTTTTATTTTGTTGAAAAATCCATGACTTTCCCGTGAGATTCATTTCCAGCTACTAAACATGAAAAGATGAAA